GCTTTTGCCGCTGAGCTAAATCCCCAGCCCCAAGAATGTTTTTTGAAGTTAAAAAAAATGAAAACCTGTCTGAAATGCAATAACAAAAGTAAAAGAAGATGAAAATGAGGGGAAATATCTATCCATGGCCCTTAGCAGACCTCTGATAATAAAAGGAAAGCACATATCAGAAGTAGGATACTTTCTAGAAGAGCTCTAAAAGGTATTTCTTTGCTTTTTCTCTGAGACATTCTTCCACTCAGACAAGGTCTTCAGTATTTCAGATGTGTCAGGTCGTCTTTGAGGTTCCTTTGATAGTAATTTCTGTAGAAGGCTTTTCTGTAATCATAAATAAACATCAATAGTACGAACTAAAACATTGGAATTAAAAAAAATTGTGATTATTTTCAAATACTTACTTCTTTGCTATTAAACACATCATAGAAGATACCTTTCTTTAGATCTTTGAAAAACTGAAAATAAACATATATATTCATTTATTAGGAGATTATTTACTTGAGAGGAAAAACAAACTTAGGGCACATTAAAGGCTAAGGATATCCTACACCTAGGCTGTTTCTAGACCTTTGAGAGTATCTTTTTAGCCAAGCACAAGCACAGAGTCCTCAGCACCACACTCAGTCTAATAACCATCTTAACATTTGATGTTTTGAAGGGTTAGGTACATGATAGTCATTATTTGCCTTCATCCTTTCTGGAACCCTATGAAATAGGTATTTTATCCCTTTTTATAGAGGCAAAATTTTTTTTTTTGTTTTTTGGGGTTTTTTTTGGTGCGGGAATCAAACTCAGGACCTTGCACTTGCCAGGCAGGTGCTTGTGCCACTGAGCTACATCCCCAGCCAATAGAGGCAAAAATTGTTGACTCAAGGCAAATCCCCCTTCCTGAGCTTCAGACTAGTATATTCAGTTGCCCCCTGCCTGTAGTAGTAACCCATTGCCTATATAAGAAAACCCATATTTTTTCCTCAGTTTAGGACCAACCTGTCTTTCCAACTCTATTAACCATCACTTCCCTGTAACTTATATTCCCCAGTGAAAGTACATTGCCTCCTGTTTCCAAATATACTCTTCATAGCTGCACCTTCACCCTGGCATCTCCTGCTTTTTATTTTGGACAATCAGAAATAACCCACCCTTCAGAGCCCAAGTGACTTGCTTTGCTGAAATCTGAGCCCACAGCTGGAAAGATCTCCCTCCTAGATGTTTCCACAGACTTTATGTCTTTTTTTAAAATATTATAACATCCTTTTATCTTTCCTCTTAGAAAAATCAACTGTTCAACTAAGCAGAGTGGTGCATGCCTGTAATCCCAGGATTCTGGGAGCTGAGATGAGGCAGATCACAAGTTTTAGCCTCGCCGAGACAACTTAGCAACTTATTGAGACCCTGTCTCAAAGTAAAAGAAAAAATCAGGGATGTTGCTCAGTGTGAAGGCCTTACATACAATCCCCCATACCAGGAAAAAAAAATTTGTTCATTGCTATAATTCTTGTAACACCTAGCACAGTGTCTTTTGCAAAGCAGGCAATCAATGAAATTCTGCCAATTCAGAACTGAATAAAAATTCAATTCAGAATAAAAATCTCAGAATAAAAATCTAAAATGTACACATCTTCCAAGAAAATAAAAGTTTTTGTTCTATAAAAATAGTTCTCAAAATTTGAAATCGAAAATATATATTTGACTTGCAATTAGTCACAAATATTCTTAATTTCACCTTCACACTTGGGCAATAACTTTGTACCAGTGCAGACATACAATAAGATACACTGTAAGACATATGATAATTTTTTTGTCTCTTAATTTTTTTTGGATTATTTACCTTTGCTGTTTCTTGGTGAGTCTTACATATGTGAATAAGTTCAGCAAAAATTAGTCCCAGAGCATAAAGGTCCACTTCCTTTCCATAATCTTCTGAATCCAGCTGAAGAGATCAAAACATAGGGGCCTTTGTTACTTATTTGATATAAATATCTATGCTTCCTGAAGCCAGAAAAGCTTCCATCACACAAAGAATCTATTTATTTGCAGGGTTTATGGAGCCTGACAGCCCAGGTTCAAATATTTAGCACCAAACAGCAGACACTGTGGTATAAATTAACCACTAACATGGGAAGAGAGTAGTCTTAATTGTTTTTGTTTTTTTTTTTTTTTTGGTTTTTCTCCGGTACCGGGAACCAAACTCACGACCTTGCGCTTGCCAGGCAGGCGCTTTTGCCACTGAGCTAAATCCCCAGCCCCGAGTAGTCTTAATTGTAAAATGGGTTTAATAGTACTATTGACCTCAGAGTTTACTGTACAATTAAATGAAATATGCAGCAGGTAAAGCAATTAAAATATTGTAGCCGGGCATGGTGGTACATGCCTGTAATCCCAGCACTTGGAGGCTGAAGCAGGAGGATTATTGCGAGTTCAAGACCAGCCTGGGCTACAAAGTGAGCTCAAGGCCAGCCTGAACTGCATAGTGAGACCCTGTCTCAAAAAGACCAGAAAAAAAACAAACTGTCTAGTAAATGACTTCTATAACAATATTCACAACACATATATTTACAACATTCCGTAGCTAGAAACAATCCGAATGTGACCAACAGGAGAATGGAAAGACATATTGTGGCACAGTCATATCATGAAATACTACTCAACAATAAGAAAGAATTAGCTCCTGATATAAGGAAACAACTAAAGGAAACTAAATGCCTCTTTAAAGCATTACAACTCAATGTAATACTTTGAAGAAATTAAATACAGTTGAGTACACACACCATGATTCCACTTATCTGAAATTTAAGAACAGGAAAAACTGACGGATGACGACAGAAATGAGAGAGCTAGTTGCTTCCATGAAGTAGGGAGGAGGAACTGGCTGGCAAGGGCCTGAGAAAACTTTTCTGAGATAAGAAAAATGTTCTACTGATGCAGAATTCAGGACCAGATCAAATGGAAGACAACAGTGCCAGAGGAACTTTGGAAGGCAGCTTTCTTATGCTAGTGGGCTGGGGAACCCTGAGGTTCAAGTCACCAGCCTTGTTTTGAGGTGACTGATCACTTACATAGGTTTTCAGAAGGAAGTACAAAAAGGCAGACAACATGACATTCTCTAGTTGGTGACACATGTCTTTGTTATTAATTGCTAGGCAGAATTTACTCTTACAGAAACAAATAAAGTTAGTATCGTATAACATCGGGGAAGAATCAATCATTGTCTGAGACGGGGCAGAGGTGTCCCCGAGGCGATAACTCTCTAGGGTTTGAAAGTAAGCAGAACACCACTGTCTGTCTAAGCTGCACTCGTATCACAGCTGGCACCTGGAGTGTCAGGGCTCGGTAAATTTATAGCTCTCTAACTATATGAGAACCAGCCACGCTTCCCAGTCTCATCCTTGAACAGTGTTAGAAATATACTAGTGCTAGAAAGATAGGATTAAAATTTTCATTACATTTAAAATAGCCTCAAAAAAATAGCCTCTACACTACATGTTCACAGACCTGCAGACTACACAAGAGTGTACCTAGGTCAAAGCAAATACATTTAAGATATGTGCATTTTGTAGCACATAAATTATGCCTTAACAAAATGTATTTACATTTAAAAATCACCTAAGAGCTGGGCGTGATGGTTCACACCGTAATCCTATTACTCTACTAAGCTGAGGCAGGACTGCTGAGTTTGAGGCCAGCCTGGGCTACATAGTGAGTTCAAGATTAGACTAAACTACATATTGAGACTATGTCTCAAAAAACAAAAAACAACAACAACAACAAAAAATTGTCCAAAAAAAATAAAAGCACAATATTAAATGTTATTTAAAAATTATTCTGTTTTTTTTCTCCTTTTTTTGATACCGGGAATCAAACTCGGGACCTTGTGCTTACCAGGTAGGCACAATTCCACTGAGCTATATTCCCAGCCTTTAAAAACATTCTGAGGATGCAGGAGCTATTTAACAGTTGGAGGTAAGCAAGCCATTCACTCCCTATTGTGTTCTGCTTTCACACTACACACACACAACTTACATGACATCTTTAAGCCAAATAGTCTCCAAAGGGAAGAGGTAAGCGCACCCTCCACTGCAGAGTCTCAAGACGTTTGCTAGGTCAGCGCATTTATTCTGAGGTGACAGACAATACAGGTATTTTGAAAGAAAATTATCAAGGAAATCATCTTAAAAAGAGTACTTAAAATGCAAAACAAAAAACAAGATGAAGAATCCACAAGATGAAAATAGACAACTAAAATATCACAGTGCAAAGACTTTGTTGCTGGTATGGAGATCCCTTAGTCAGCATCTGCTTTTCAGTGATGCTCTCTGGGCGTGGCAAACTACAGGCCTTTGCTTCTGTCCCAAGGTCCAACCAAGTCTGTTCATTTGGAACAGCAGAGTGCAGTGTAGTTGGCCCAGCACCCAGTTCTCTGGGAATACACCACAGCATTGCTAATGACACAAAGTCAACCCAGACATTGATATGCAGAGAAAATCAATTAACATTAACAACAATGCCACTCTGGCAGTAGCAACAACCATACAGTCAAAGACAAACCAGATACTGACATACCATAAAAATCAATAATGTACCAACTGGAACCACAGAAAACAGATCTATAGTTATACCATAAACAAGAGAAACCCAATATCAACATATATTAAGTATCTACTGAAAGCAACAACTATACCTCCACCAACAATAGAAAACATTTCAACAGTAATAGCACACAGTTAACTAAAAAGATTAATAAAACTCAGTGATTATACTAGTAAAGATGGAGCAGATAGGGAATGGGAGAATGAAGGAAGTAAAATTTGAAAAATAAAGAGAAGAAAGATGAAGAAGAAAGAAGAGTTAGATAAAAGATCCTACTAAAAAGTAATAAGAAGCTAGGTGTGGTGGTGCCCACCAGTAATCCCAGAAGTCAGGAGGCTGAGGCAGGAAGATCATTTGGAAATCAAGGCCAGCCCAGGCTACACAGTGAGTTCAAGGCCAGTCTCCATTGTGAAGCAAGACCCTGTCTCAAAAAGCAGAAAACAAACAAAGTAAAAGGAGATAAAAGTAACAGAAGCATGCACACACACCACACACACACACACACAAAATCAAAATAAAATCAAAATAAAAAAAAGAAGAAAAAGGAAAAAAAATAGGGAAAAAACCCTAAATCCCAACAAACAAATGAGGAAAAAATGACTCTAAAACATTCTTCTGTATTTTTAAATGAGTGATTTAGATCCAGGGTCTGCAGTCTTGGGATCTAGTAGACATGGGGGAGGGACAGTGCATCACTGCTAGGAACTATTGCATTTCCACACTCACAGTTTTGTGTGGGAATGTTGAATCCCACCCTGCCTTTCCCACCGGTTATAGTTGGTCATTGGTATCTGTCCTGTGGCTGTAGTCTGCCCAGCAACTTCTACATTCCATGTCCCTCTGAGATGTACCCCCAAATTTTCTCCACTCAGCTTTATGACCCATGGATTTGTGAGGTGTCTCCCTGCTCCAGAGGTTCCTCTGTCCACATACCTAAGGCTGACGCAACCGTCCAAGCTGAGTCACATCGTTGCTCCCGCTGGTAGTTGGAGAAAGCAAACAGACTACTGACTTGTGCACTGGCTGTCGGTACTGGGATAGGGTTTAAACAGACTGCTGGACTCACTGCCAGCACTTTCAGATCCAGCTGCCTGAGCAAGCCACACACAACTGGCCTGGTATCTCACCACAGATGGTGGGGCCCCCACATCCTTCCCAGCCTGAACTTAAACTTCTCAAGGAGTCTCTGTCTAACCCATGCCCTCTCTGCAACGGTCTCTTATGGCTCTCTTTCGCTCAGTCTTACCACACTTTAAAAAAATATTATTATATCACACATGACATCCCACACGCTCATGAATTCATGAATTTCTTGACTCTGTTTCATTGATTTAAAAAAAAACCATTTTACTGTTTTAATCATTGTAGCACTAAAAGATGCATTTTAATATTTGAACAGCAGGACTTCCTATTTCATTATTATTTAATTTAAAAACATCATCAGAGGTAGCTGGGCATGGTGGCACATGCCTGCTTATAACTCCAGCACTCTGGGAAGCTGAGACAGGAGAATCAAAACTTTGAGCTTACCTGAGGCAACTTAATGACTTAGTAAGACCCTGGTGAAAAATTAAAAATTAAAAAAGAGCAAGGGGTGTAGCTCAGTGTACAGACCTGGGGTTCAATCCCTAGTACTGGAAAAAAAACCTAAAATGTCCTCAGGAGTTCACATTTACGACTCCAAGTGCTCTCTAGAATCAGCTTGCCATGCTCCATTAACAGGTCTTGAAGTTTTGTTAACTGTTGTATTGAATTTAAGGATTTGGTTAAAGAGAATGGATACCCTCACTGTGAGTGAGGACAGCACATAATTGAGAGCAAACATCAGGCAAAAACCACAAACAATAGAAACCTAAAAAGACAAGGCAACAAAATAACTCCCCAAACTCTCAACTCCTCCAAAGCTGACCCATGGGGCATCAATGTGGAGGAAATCAAAAGCCCCACAGCTGAATTATTCAAAATGATAAAAGTTTAAAAAAACAGATCATAAGGGGTTTGGTGAACCCCTTATGTCAAAGAAGACATGACTAAATGGATAATAGACTTAAAATGATTACTGAGTCTATAGAAGACACTAATAAAAAGCTAGCTGAAAGTGAGAGGTAGAAAACAATATCCCACACTAATTGAATTTGAAAGAAGCAGGAAGAGCTATACCCATTTCTGATAAGCAGACGTCAAGACAAATTAGAAAAGACAACAAATGCCAGCACATATTGGTAAAGGGAACAATCCACCAAGAAGAAATAACAACTGTAAACATATACGTACTGAACATTGGTGCACCCAGTTTTATAGACCCAACTCAACACAAATGGACAAATAGGTCCCAGTACAATAATAGCTGGTGACTCCATTCTCACCAATTAATAGGTCACTCAGACCAAAACAACAAAGATATATTAGCACTAAAATATATCATAAAACAAATTAAGTTGACAGATGTCTGTATAACATGCCATGCAACAACCTCTTTGGTCAGCCTCAGTGTGACCATCAGCCGTGTTTCTATGCCCCTATATAAAGTCCACATGCTTTTGTCATGCCCTACAATCCCACATTTTATCTAGCCATACTGTAACTAAACAAAACATGCCATTCTTTTTCTTTCTAATGAACTATAAAAAGCAATCTGGTATTTTTGCTAGTTTCATCCTCCTTAGATACTCAGACAGCATCATAAATTCAGTTTCCCATTTCTCAGAGCCAGGTGTAACCTTATGTGGGTAGCCGTTTCCCCTGCACTGTAGCTTGATGGTGGCACAGGAACATTTTCTCCCTGCATTCACCACACACACATCTGCAGCCTTGCATCTGTATTATTAGCATTAGGTTCCGATACGTCAATTAAGTTCTAATCACAAATGGTGCTGGCTAAACTGGACATCCATATGTAGTGTAAAAGACTGACACACCTTCCCTGTCTCTCAACCTGTACTAAATCAATTCCAAATAGATCAAGACCTGAAACTTTGACTCTGCTAGAAGAAAACATAGGTGAAATACTTGAAGCCATAGGCACAGAAAGCGAATTCCTAAATAGGACTCAAATAGCACAGGAAACAAGAGTAAATTCAACACATGGTACTATGTCAAAAGTTTCTGCACAACAAGGGAGACAACTAACAAAGTGAAGAGACAGCCTACCAAATGGGAGAAAATTTGGCCAGCTACGCTTGGGGACAAAGAATTACCATAATATCTAGACTAGATCTTAAAAATCCTAAAAACTTGATGCTAAAAAATCAAATAGCTCAATCAATAAATGTACAAATGAATTGAACAGGCTGGGTGTGGGGTCACAGGCCTGCAATCCCAGCACTCAGGAGGCTGAGGCAGGAGGATCTTGTGAGTTCGAGACCAACCTGGGCTACAAAGTGAGCTCAAGGCCAGCCTGGATTGCATAGAGAGACACTGTCTCAAAACAAAACAAATCAAAACCACAAATGAATTGAACAAATACTTCTGAAAAGAAGTATAAATCATTACTGAGTACATGAAAAAATGTTCAGTATCATTAGCCATTAAATAAAAATCAAAACTACACTGAGATTCTATCTCACCCCAGTCAGAATAGCTATCGCACAAAAAGTACTAAATATTAGTGAGGTTACAGGGTAAAAGGAACACTTCTACTCTGCTACAGGGAATATAACTTGGTACAGCCCCTATGTAAATCAATATGGAGGTTTCTCAAAACACTAAAAATAGAAAGACATATGACCCAGCTACCCCACCCCTTGGTATGCATCCAAAGGAATTTCCATGAGCATACTTGAGGGATACCTGCATACCTCTGTTTACTGCATCATAATTCACAATAACCAATATACGAAATCAGCTTATAAGCCTATCAGCAAATGAATGCATAAAAAATTGTGATATCTATCTATCTATCTATCTATCTATCTCTATCATCTATCTATCTAATGGAATATTATTCAGCCATGAAGAGAGAAAAAAATATGCCATTTAGGGGAAACTGGATCATCAAGTTACATGAAATATGCCAGACTCAGAAAGACAAATGTCACATATTTTCCCTAATACATGAAATCTAAAAAAGATGACATAAAAGTAGGGAATATTATTAGAAAAGAGGAAGGGACTAAGGGAGAAGCAAAGGCGATAGTGGAAGGATGGTTTAAAAGTTCTGAATTAGAACAGTAAGACATTATTAATTACGGCGTAAGGATTATTATGGTGACATGAATTTATTGAGGTGAAAAGACGCCCACTATGCTCTGTTCAATGACATAGCAGGTTACAAAATAGTATGCACGCCACTGCTAATTTTTGTTTTAAAAAATGCACTAACATATAGTGATATCAAGAAATTGTCTGGAATGCAGTTCTCTAAACTGTGTCTGGGAATGAGCTACTGAGCACATTTTCGTTTTGTTTCAGAGTATGTTTTGACTCGTACTATTACAGAAGGTTTCTAAGCAGAGGAAATTAAGAACAACTAGAAGTATTGAGGTGACAATATGTTAATATAGCTTGATTGGAGTAATCATTTGGCAATGTATCTGTATCTCAAAACAAGATGTTAAAAACAAAAACAGTAAGGTTGTCGATCACCTTTTTTTGTTTTGTTTTGTTTTGTTTTTTTCCGGTACCAGGAACAGAACTCATGACCCTGAGCTTGCCAGGCAGGCACTGTGCCACTGAGCTAAATCCCCAGCCCCTGTCGATCATCTTAAATAGATATGATTTTTTTTGGTCAATCATACTCAATAAAAGAGTGAAAAAAATTAAAGAAGCAAAACACAGAAAGAAAAAAGAGAGAACTTACCTGTTCCGGGCTCATGTATCTCTCCGTTCCCTTATTTCTTGTTCGCTTTCCATCATTTTCCAGGGATGTTGCGAGTCCAAAGTCTCCAATCTTTACTTGTTTCTCATCTACTAAAAATATGTTACTTGGCTGTGGGGAAAAACAGTAATTTATATGTACCAGTCTGGTGGCCTATTACCACGTCATTTTAGCCAAGGTTTTTGTATTTACTTGTACAACATTTACCCTGTTATTGATAGCTCAAATCAGTTGAATAGCACGGGTCTTTAAAATGCCCACTGGAGGAAGGAAGGACTTTAAAGTCGACAGCAGAGGCAATTTGAGGTACAGCTGCCTCCAAATATCTGAACAGCTGTCAGGTGAAAAATAGATTCACTCTGCAGGGTCCCAGGGGATGGATTCAGGACTAGAGGGTGGACATGACCAAAAGATTTGGTTTAATATATCTTAATATACTAATTGTGCAGTCCAGTAAGAGTTAGAAAGTCCCCCATCCCAGAAGGACCTAGACAACGCCTTGAGGAAATGATGCAAATGTAAATTCAGGGATGATGGGGACTGACTCTGACACCCTTAAGATGCATTCTAACTTTGAGATTCTCTGAAGGGGTTCGTTCCTAACAATGCTGTTGAACATGTTATGTAGAAATGGTCCAGGAGCCTTCCTTTATGTCACTTTCTCCAGGCCTTCGGCAACTTCTTACTAAACATACCTCACCCACCTTGAAAGCATGCTAAATTAAAGGGAAATTGATAACTAGCACAAAATATTATTTCCATGCAATTCTTTAAGCAAATTTTAAGGAGAAAAAGCAAAAAGTGAATGAAGGGTGATAATTACAGCTTTGTGGAAGCTATTGGTCAGTATTTTTTTTTCTTTTTCGGTTTTTTTCCGATACCGGGAATCAAACTCATGACCTTACACTTGCAAGGCAGGAGCTGTGCCATTGAGCTAAATCCCCAGCCCCACTGGTCAGTATTCTTGGTAAAGGAACAGAGAAGGAAGTGACCAAAGCCCTGGGTAACCAGGAGGAACCTTCTGAGAAGCCAGCCTGAGAAGCCCAATGCAGAAACTGGAAATAAGATTAGAATTTAACTAACATATTGGAATTGGATTTAGCTGCAAGGCTGCAGATATGTGTGTAGCAAAGGCGGAGAGAAAATGTTCCTGTACTACTATCAAGTTACAGTGCAGAAATGTGCCGGTTTGCAGTGAAAACTGCTACCCACATAAGGTTGTACCTGACTCTGTGCTGAATTTATGATGCTGTTTGAATATCTAAGGTGGAGAAACTAGTAGGAATAACAGACTGCTTTTTATAGTTCATTAGAAAGAAAAAGAATGGCACGTTTTGTTTAGTTACGGTATGACTAGATAAAATGTAAGATTGTACAGCATGAGAAAAGCGTGTAGACTTTACATCGGGGCACAGAAACATGGCTGATGCTCAGGTTGAGGCCAAGCTGGTTGGCCTAGTAGGAGACACTTTCTACCAATAAGCGGCCTCAGATAGTCAGCCCTCACTCCAGAAGTCCCTATGGAAGACCCTCATTGAAGCCTTCAGTCTAGTTCTTAAAATCCTGATAGCAAGCAACAAACACTTTGAGACTTTATATATGACAGGCTTATTGTGTAAAGACTGTTCTCTGGCAAAGACACCTACAAGCTGCAATTTTGAAAGCGTAATGTGAAAGGTGCACACCTTCACTACCATCTTCTCTCTAATGAGAGGAAGTCGTGCTCTAACAGAGCAAGCTTAGAAAAGTTGTGGCTGAAAGAAGTCTCAGTATTAAAGTCTGACCTCAGAGTAAAACTTGCAGTCAGAGCAAAACTTCAGACATAAGGAAAGATCACATTCTGACACAGGATATGTCAGTGCAGGATTCAGAGAACTGGCAGATATGAGGGGAGGCACCAGCCAGAACTGCACTAATTCACTGGGAGGGGGTAACACCCACAGTTCTGCACTCATGTGCAGAGGAATAGATATATAAGTAACTAATTGCGTACTAGATTTAATATTCATGATTTGTTCCAAAGTGAAGATTTAGTGAAAACCAGAAGAAAATGAAAATACTCAGTGTGATATATGTTCCAAATTTTTAATTCCTGCAATTTTCCAATTATGGGGCTGAAAGGCCCAACCAAAAATCCTAGACTCTGGACCCCATAGCTATGACCACCCTCCGGATAAATAGATTAGGCAGCCATGTTCTCAAAGCCACAGTAGAACAAGCCAGGCGGCAAGCAGATGGAAGGACAGAGCACCCAGCTGACTGCCAGCCGCAATAACTGCTCATGCAGAAACACTCCCCGTACACAAAAGCTGTCAGTATTTATAAGCAGGGTGTGCCTGTCAGCTGAACAGAAGCAGACATGCATGAGCCTTCTAGTAGGGCTCATCATCACTGTAAGGTCCTCGAACCCGGAGGTCTTCGGAGTAGCGGTCTGGAGTAGGATTTGGGCCAAGTTCTAGGCCTATTCTAATCTCAGAGGATCAGAGACACTATTCTGCCATGACGATCGATAAATCACAATTCTAAAACTAGAGGAGACTGATTTTTAAATTATTAAATTACATTTACCACCTAATAAAGAAAAATTTCCACTTACCTTAAGATCTCTATGAATGATTTTGCTTGAGTGTATATAGTGTACTCCTGTTGTTATTTGCTCAAAAAACTCCAGAGCCAATGCTCTGTCTGAATTGTTTTCTCTTCTTTGATCAATCCATTGCTCCAGTGTGCCTTTATCACAGAATTCCATTGTGATGAAAAGACACGGACTCTTTGGTCTGCATAAAAAATTCACAGTATGTTACAGGTAACAATAAAAATGAATTTATCTTTAAAAAAAATAACAAGAGCAAAACAGAAGAGAGGCAATTAGGAAATATGCAGAAGTTCCAATACTGTTGTTTCAAAACTAGTTTAATATATATGCAAATTAGTTTCATTTTTACGACTACTTTATCTTACTTCATTGAAAAACAGTCTTGTATTTTCCATTTGCTTCTTTTTTGCAACAATCTTTTAGGTTTATGTCTTGTACTCTGAGTAACTACCTTGAGGATAACGACATACAGTACATTAAATACTGCTATTCTCTTATTACTTTGTTATAAAAAATTTTTTTATAAAATAAAAAAGTAAAAAAAGAAAAAAACTAAAAAGTACACTTTGCCATCTTGTGAACCTCAAAATATGTCTCAAAATAAATCTAAATATAGTAAATTTGAAGCAGCATATAATAAATAAACCATTTTAATTTAAATCATAATTTCTTAAGTGTACAAAGTCTTATTTGTTTAACTAATTTATAAAGTACTTCAAATTTATAAAGTACACATCTGCCTGTTCTTTATTATTTATTTATTCTTTTTGTGGTACTGGGGATTTAACTCAGGGCTTGCTCACTGAGTTACCTACCTGGGCTTTCCCTCCTTCCTTCCCTCCCTCCCTTTCTTCCTTCCTTTCTTCCCTACCACCCTCTTTCCTTTTCCTTTTTTCCTTTCCCTTTCTTTCTCATGTTGCCCAGGCTGGGCTTGAAATTGCAGTCCTCCTGCCTCAACCTTCAGCCTGTAATTCCAGGCTGGGATTAAGGCACGTGCCAGTTTATTTAGTTTCTGTCCATTCCCTAATGCTGCAGATCCTTGATCATAACAGGCAAGAACAGAAACATTACTTACAGAAAACATAATTTCATTACGATATAAAGTAATTTTGAAACTTTAAGTCACCATCAATCAACTGAGTGCCTATTTTGCGAAAGGCACAGAACAGACACACAGACATGAGAAAATGAGTTAGGCACGCTCCTTGACACCATAAGAATTATGGTTTAATACAAATAGTAGAGGAAAAACAAACCTAAAATGATAGGAAGGACAGGAACTCTGACAGAAGTGCCAACAAACTGCATGCTAGAGCTATGTTAAAGAAAGATAATGCTAGCCATATTTTATATTTTCTTCTACACTAAGTTGGCCTCCATATTAATTTTTTCCTCCTAACATACATGAGCTAGAAAATAGGAAGAGGTAGCCAAGAATCTGATTAAAGCTGAAGAAGTCCTGTATGCTTGCAGTCAATAACTCCTGAGCCGGATTATAAAGCTGTCAAGTACACAAGGTGGAGACAGGGCTGGATGCAGAAGATGATGAATTAAGAGATCCCCAAGGCTTCAAGATTTCAGAAAACTGTCCCCAAGACAAGTTTGGAGACATTCAAAGGCAGATGCCAGCTGTTTAGAATTTCCAGCCCTTTACCTGTGGTTTAACTGAAGAAAAAAAAAATGAGTGCTACAAGCAGAGGGTGTCCCCACCATTGTCCATGACCTTAAAATTATTTTCACTGCCTACCACTCCTTTGTGAGTGGTGCTGTTGCACCCCAAGGCCACTCTTGGACTGCACCACACCAATGAGGGGCCTCTGAGAAGGACATAAACTGCTGGCAGCCAAGGAGGGAGGCTTTGGATACAGCACCTACATGTTAAAACTTTGTTCACGAGACCTATTTACAGCCAGGGCACATGAGCAAAAATATATGCTAAATAATGGAGTCAGAAAGCTAAACTGAGATTTGAAAACAGCACAAGACAAAAAAAAGGCACTTAAAAGTTAAATTTGGTGGTGCATGGCTATAATTCCAGCACTCGGGAGGCTGAGGCAGAAGGATCACAGTGAGTATGAGGCCAGCCTGGGCTACAAAAGTGAGTTTGAGACCAGTCTGTAGTACATAGTTAGATTCTGTTTCAAAAAACAAAAAAAAACTTTTTAAAGTTAAGTTTGGAACAGGCAGAGGAATAAGGAAAAGATTTTTCAGCCTTCTTACCAGACTGAAAGAGTGAAAGACAACTGCCTCTCAGAGGTGGCTGGGATTTAAATGTGGTGAGTAATGGTCTCAGCTAGCAGGGCACACGTAGAAAATGACAGTTTCTTTACATTCTATTATAGCTATGAAAACCTCTTTCGTGTGTGTGTGTGTGTGTGTGTGTGTGTGTGTGTGTGTTTGAGGCAGGGTCTCGCTACGCAGTTCAAGCTGGCCTTGAGCTCACTTTGTAGCCCTGGCTGGCCTCGAACTTGCAACGATCCTCCTGCCTCAGCTTCCTGAGTGCTGGGATTACAGGCGTGCACCACCATGCCCAGCTGAGAACCTCTTTTTTACTTACCGTGAATTATCAGTACTTAAACTGCAGTCAGGATCATAATCGTATCCCTCCCAACAATAGCAATACTGAACAATATTGGGATGACGAAGAGCCGCCAACGCTTGTACTTCACGCAATGCCTTCCTGTTTAAAAGAAGCAGAGGGGCTGGGGATTTAGCT